AGGAGAGAGAGAAAATGAGAGAAAGAGGAATGCGAGGAAGAAAGAGAGAGAGAGAGAGAGAGAGAGATGAGAGTAGAGAATGAGATCGGAGATGAGAAGAGAAAGCAGAGTGGACGGAGAGGGGCGGATATTATCATAGTATATATATTAGTTATAATATACTATAGTATATAGAGTAGGAGAGAGAGAGAGAGGAGGAGAGAGAGAGAGAGAGGGGAGAGACGAGAGGAGAGAGAGGAGGATGAGCAGAGTAGAGAGAGAGATAGAGAGAGAGGAGAGAGAGAGAAGGGGGACGGAGCAGAGAGTAGAGATATAGAAATAATTTGATGGGAGGGCACGCAGAGTAGAAGAAATGATGAGAGAGCAGAGACGACGAGCATAGAGGTAGAGGAGAATCGTGATGACGACGACGTGAGATGAGTAGATGAGAGAGGCGAGCATGTGCGCACGTGCAGAGAGATGGAGATTAGCCAAATATGGCGTTGCTTCAGGATCGTAAAATAAACATGCGTTGGTTCAGGGAGGAAACGTATCCACTGTGCTACTACTGCATTTACTGTAAATCGAAGAAAACGCGTGAGGAGAGAACGAGATTAGAAAAAAAGAGAAGTGGAGTGGCTACGAGACCAGAAAGCATTCAGGGGCCCGTTGTCAGAAACATCGTTAAATTAGTTCAAGCTAATGTTAACCCTAATTCGGTGTATCTGGCAACAGGCCCCAGGTTGCGATGAATATTTTGTGTGATTGAATATTGATGAATATTTTCGAGTGGCTTGCCTCGCTCCAGTACACTAGCAGCGGTTATAGTGTTACGTCGTCGACGCTACAGACAGCGTGTGCAGCGTCCGTCAGTAGCGTGCCTTCACGAACGATGATGATCCATCCATCCACCACAGCTCCCGCGCGCAATTGTAATTGTAATAAGCGGTAATTGTAATGCCGTACGTATATTATACGTGTCGGTATAATATATACGTACGTATATGACGGTGCGTATAGACGCAGGTAGCGTGTTCGTCCTATCATATAAGCAGTCTCATCACTCATGCTAGACTGCAGCCCGAGGCATTGCGGGTGCTGATCCCCCCGTTCTGTAAGCACACAAAACAAAAGATCACTATCATAGTAAAAATGCATCCTTACTTTCTGTACTAAGTATGTCGTTTTTTAATAATGTTTACGAAAACTTTACTAAATGATTTTACTAAATAAATTTTTCTAAGTAATGGTCTGTCACACACCAACGGGTTTAGAAGTCTTGACTATTAGACTGATTCGTTGTTAGAGCCCCTAACGCGTTTTTGGTGTGAATCGAACGTCTTGGTAGCATTCTAGGAATTACTGTCATTTTGCGAGCGCGGTTCCACGGCGGCGCCGATCCACGAAAGCATCCTTCTCTGTTCTTACTCAACACTTATGTACGTTAAAGCGAGAATTTCTCATGTTTTACCAACCGTTTTATATATATATATGTCATAGAACACATGCGCATCATTCTTTCCACCTAATATGTACACCGATCTGCATTTCAAATTAGGTTTGTTCACATAATAATTATGTCAACAAAACTAGCGCGAAATTTTCGCTCTCGCGAGATGCCATCAACCGCTGACCTGTCTCTACACTATGTATTAAAATGCGTTACATACACGCCACGACCACGCGGTGGCTGATTCAGCAACTTTAATTTAACGGTGGGATCGATTTCACGATGGCATCCTTCTCTGCGTTTACTCGTCACATGTGTGCGTTAAAAGATGCAGAATCGTGATCAAACTTATCAAACCACTTGACTTGACGCAGTGACTGATTCAGCAACGTTAATTCCACGCGTGGCCGTTATTCATTACACGCCGGACGTTGATGGGTTAATCCGCCGTGTGTTTGTCCGACACGCGCCACGCGCTACATGTGATCAGGCGGGCGGATGTTGGTCGACAGTCGTCGTCCAGCCAGCCAGCCATCCATCCAACCAGCCAACCAACCAGCCATGTGATCGTAAAGCGAGTACGTACGCGAGCGCTCCCACCACTCACCCCACCTGTAGCGTGCTCTCAAGGTCGCTATCGTCATCGTCGCCGTCGCTGCCGACGACTTCGGTTATTGACCCAGTTCAGATCTGTCTCTGATTGTCTGCTGACTGCTCGCGGCAGATAGCAAGCATTCGCGAAAATAGATGGTCTTATTCGGTATTGTTATGAGGGTGAGGTAGGGAGCGAGTAGGGCAGGAGGGTGCAGTGGCCGTTGGCGGGAAAAAGGGGAGGCGGATGTGTGTAGGGGGGCAGGGTTAGGGTTAGGGTTAGGGCCCAGTCCGCGGTACCCAGCGTATATCATCAACACGCCGTACAGCGGAATCTGCAGTTTTCAGAATGGTGCAGAATTGAGGTAAACGTGTGATCATGAGGTAACAATCTAAGATTAATTTGACTTTACAGTTTTCGTACGTAGGAGGTTGCTAATTTAATACGTGGGTGAAATGCTGTTTCTCGTGTAATTTGTCCTCATACATAATAAATCATCTAGCGCATTAATACGCTTAGACATAATTAATTAATTAGAGATAATAGCAGCACGTACCATCCCGCTAAATTAGATCTTTAATTTAATCTTTCCTAATATTTTGATGGTGCAAAGCTCTGTTGCCGCGTTGCTGATTCGTTGCATGTGATCAGCCATCGCTCTAATCCTAAACCCGCACCTGCCGCGGGTGACCAAGGTTCCAACTTAGGACAGTAATTACCTCGCTGTATGTATTCCACGATGTAGCTTGGAGGAGCAAGCGTATAAAACGCATGACATTTAGCGTACAGCGTGGCTCTGTGGCTTAGCCCACACACGCCCGTGTTTGCTGCGTGGTATAGATTTAATTATTAACATTCTTCCGCGAAACCCCACCTGTGAACCTTCCTTCTCGCAGCGTATTATGAGGTATAAATTTCTCAGATAATACAATCCACCAGCAGCGTGTTACGCATGCTATCAGGAGTCTATCAATATTCTATCGTCTATTGATAGACTCTTGATGCTATCATGAGCTAATATATTTAGGTATTATTCGTTCTTGATGCTATGCTGGGTATGTGCAGGTTATGCATAATTATATGGATATATATATATATATGAAGAGTAGGCCTACCGTAATAGAAATGTTCTATTATGGTACTCTTGATATATATGAATATATGGATGTATATATATGGATATGCAGAGGAAGGTGGTGCGTGGTTATAACGTGTGCGCATCCGTGAGTGAGTCATGCATGCCACCGTACGTGTGATTTTGCGTTGTTAAAGTGGATAAACTCGCACATACACCTACTGTGAACATACTTGCAGTATGCAAACATCACGAAATGTTCTTATTGAGCCAGAAATGTGCATATATTGCATTTTGAAAACTTCGTTCGCATTTTACGTTGTTAAAGCTCCATCTTTGCACGTTTTGCAGGTGTGTAAACACGGGTTCGCGCAGCATCTGGATCTGCTACTCTTCTACGGAGCCGAAATGAACGCGAAGAATGCGAGTGGAAACACACCGCTACATGTGTGCTGCATAAACAATCAGGTATTTACGCTCTGCAGACGCCGCCACCGCCGCCGGCTGCGGCTCAGTTGCATGGGAGGTTTTTTGGCGCCATCTGTCGTGAATAATACTGAATTCTCGTGCGTTAAAAATTTGCGAAGAAATCCGCAAATAACACTGTTGATATATGCGTGGCATGTGCTCCGTACGCACACGGCGGCACATGGCGGAACGCACGTACACGCACGCACTCATGCTCACAAATGGGTGCACTGACACATGCACCACGCATGCATAAACGCTCACATGCGTCATGCGTGCATCCGCCAAAAACACGTGCGTGGCGTAGAACAATAACAAATAACGTCTCATCCTCTCGTACGTTCACAGGATAGTTGTGCCAGACTGCTGCTATTTCGAGGTGCTGACAAGAATGCACAAAACTTTGCCAATCAGACGCCCTATCAGGTGTCAGTGGTAGCTGGAAATCTAGAGCTGGCTGACATCATAAAGAACCACGGCACGGATGAGATAGGTGAGCGAACAGCGCAGGGAATAGAAGTCATCAGAAGTAGATAATAGGGAAATTATCTATTTCCCTATTATCTACTTCTGAAGTTATATATGGTAGCCAATTACATCAGCAAGTTGTACTGGTAATGATATTTCTAATGTAATGAAGTCTGCAATGTCAGGATGAGGGTTGTGGCAGTGCTGCTGCTGTTGCTGCTGCTGCTGCTGTTGTTGCCGATGATGATAATAAATTAATAACGAGAATGCTGGTGATGATGATGATACTGCTGCCAATAATGACGATGACAGTAACGTCAATTAACGTCATCTTGCTTGACATAATTCACGATACGACGACAACAATTTTCATTAATGCCTCGGTTTGTCTGACGTAACTCAAAAATAACAGCTAACAGGACATGACAACAAAAATGAGACGACTGCATCCACCCTCCACAAAAAAAATCACTTTGTCGTCGTCAATATTGATTAAATCTAACGACTTAACTCTATCTTACTTATAAACTAACTCTAACGAGGTAAGTTAGAGTAACTCTAACGAGTCTTAACTATAAGTTAACTTATCTCTTAACGATGAATCTAATTAACTAAACTTAAATCTTAACGATTAACATAATGAACTAAACGTACTTAATTAACTAAACTTAATTCTTAACGATGAACTTAATTAACTAAACTTAATTCTTAACGATCAACTTAATTAACTAAACTTAATTCTTAACGATCAACTTAATGAACTAAACTTAATTCTTAACGATCCACTTAACGAACCAAACTTAATTCTCATCAAGCAACTCTAACGACGATCATTTCTCCCCGCCTCGCAGTTCCGTTCCGGGAAACGCCGAAGTACAGTAACCGGCGGCGTATGAGTGTGGCGGCGCATCCCGGCACGCCGCAGTACGCGCGCCCGGACCGCTGGCAGGGCAAAGCTCCGAGTCCCGCGCAGTCTACACGCAGCCTCCCTCAGTTCTCGTCTGCCGGCTCGACGCTATCGCTGTCCGACAGCAGCTCCAACATGAACCACGCCGACGTCGACGACTCCGCGAGTTCTTACAACTCGGGTGAGTAGAGAGAGAGAGAGAGGAAGAGTTCGCGCTCTGTGATATCATCATGTATAGGACGATGAACTCGTCGTATTTCATATTACATGACGCGACGCGTGGCCGCGGGAAAGGTCCTTATTGACGTCTCTTATTATCATCAGGCTTAACGGTGGAAGATAAGACTAAGGTGGCCTTAAATTATGTGATTGTGTGATGCGATGCATGAGAAAGGGTTGATGGTGTCTTTTTCAATCTGCGGGAATAATTGTCTGGTGGATTACTGTGCGCTCTGAAGGTAACGACCACCGGCAAATGATTCTATTCTATTTCGTGAGATCCGTTTAGGCTTGGATTGGTTTCGCGCTGGTTGCACATCAATTATACATGTCGCTATTAGTCTGGCTGAGAGGGTCTATGTCCCCCAGGGTACTGCCGGAACGTACCCTGGGTACGGTCTGGTATACCGGAACGTACCTTGGTACTAAATACTACTTTCTAATATGCCGGACCGTACCTCGCCTACTCCACTAACGAGTCTAGGGAGTCGCCTACGCCTACGCCTACTCCCTAACCCTAACCCTAACCCTAACTCGAACCCTAACCCTAACCCTAACACTAACTCTAACCATATCAGCTAGATAGTTACCAGGGTACGTTCCGGTATACCGGACCGTACCCAGGGTACGTTCCGGCAATACTCTGGGGGACATAGACCCTATCGCTATTTGTCTGTAGTGTACGGTGCGAAGTAGTGGCACCTAGCTACGTGCATATACAGTGTACGTGGAAGAAACATGCCCGCGGTTTGTTGGGTGAGAATTATACTGAGAGTTATGTAGCCGTCTTGATCAGTTTGCTGGAAAATTTGAAGACTATTATCTTAATGTGTAAACTAAAACCAAGAATATATTCGATCTACTATTCCATAGTACTATAATATAGTAGCATATGTATATATATATACATATACATATATAGCCTTATTGTACCCAATCGATGTTTAATACCTTATTAATGTACACTGATATAGCCCAACTGTATCGCCGGGCCGCGTACCAAACTAGCATGGAAGCTGCTTATATTTCTTCGCAGTGACGCGTGTTACTTCGCCTATACATTGACGTTCGTTTGTTTTGCTCGTAGTCCTAATTAATTAATTAATTAAATAATTATTAGAGAGGTCATGCATAGATGATCAAAGCCTACTATAGTTACTGCATCTCTAATCAATTAATCTTAATTTATTTATTAATTATTTGAGATGGCTGATTCAGTAAAACTATATAGTTGGCTTTGGTCATTTGTGCATCTTTTTAAATCAATATCCACGTTATCAGCCGCTTATGTAAACTATGTACAGTTCCGTCTGAATCGTCTAAATTCTCGGATTTTAACTGCGGCGTTCGCTTGTTTTCTCACACAGAAACTCCACTCACGATCGCCGCGAAGCTGGAGAAACCACAGAAACTCATCGCCGCACTCATCAACGGTGGCGCTCACGTCGACTTCCGGGCGCGGTCGGGGCTGACGGCGCTACACGTCGCTGCTGTGCAGGGTAACGCCGCCGCAGTCGAGGTAACTATGGTAACGCGCAGCCGATAGGATGCGCTCTTGTTTTACTCTGTCGTTCAGGCGCTTATTATTATTATTATTATTATTATTACTAAATCTTTATTGCATGTAATTCAAAAACAATTACACGTACTGAAGCATGCCTGTTCTGTGTTCCTCATTGTATTCGTTACTGTATTCGTCCTTATATTCTTCATTGTATTCGTCCTCATATTCTTCAATGTATTCGTCATTGTATTCGTCCTTATATTCGTCATTGTATTCGTCATTGTATTCGTCATTGTATTCGTCATTGTATTTTATGCGAGTTTCGCTTTCGTTTCTAGGCATCTCTGAAGAGATTCGTCGAGTACGTAAAGGACGCGAACGTTGCTAAGGTGCTGAAGCTGTGTGACAAGGGACTCGACCCAAACTTCCACGAGAATGACACGGGAGGTAAGCGACACATCTATCATAGCATCATCTATCGTCTAGCATCTATCTAGCATCTATCTAGTATCTATCTAGCATCTATTTCTTTCTATTATATTTATTATACTCTTGTATTATTAGCTAGCTTAATTTATAGCTGTCCTTCTATTATATTTATTATACTCTTGTTTTATTAGATCTTGTTGCAATCATTACGCCTCCCAGATTTCACTCACGACTCGTATTCGATATGCATGTCAGTATCTATGTTGTTTTAACTCCAGATATTTTAAAACGCGTGAAACAATTTATCAGGAGCTAATAATGACAAAACAGCTCATTTGTCATTATTAGCTCCTGAATTTATGTTTACACTCTCGCGTAGGTTTACAATGTTAGCTTCAGATTTATTACCAGTGAAAAAGACAAGGGAGCAGCTAGTAGTCGCATCTAAATAGCTTCGTCTTGCATGTCACGTGACCACTTTTCATTATGAAGTTGCTCACTCACCCGTATCGCGCACAATTTAAAAGTCTCGAAATTCAAGGTCGATCGACGAGTAATTAAATATTATTCTAGCCAAAAAACCTTTTGGCAATTATAAACACTTAACAATGTACATATGTACATATGTTAATATGTACATATGTTAATATGTACAAATTCGCATTACAAACCCGTTTATGATGCTAACTTACCCCGTCTCTAGACGCCTGTGTCAGTTACTCTGCCTGCAGATCATGATATAAAAGCCGTAATTATACTATTAACAAATTCAATACACCTTTCGAAAACATAGCTGTGACCTTCACCGGCCGCTGCTTGGTTAGTGGAGGATATTACGTAAGCTATAACAGAGACATTACTATCCGGACAGACACTGGTTAGCGGATTATGTGCGATGTATAATAATCCGATAGGTAGACAGAATTTCTGTCCAGAATTACAGTCACCCTTTCTCCTGTACGCCCCTCACCTGTCGTCACCTACGCCCGCTCAACCTACCCAATGACCCTCTCCTTCTAGTTTGTTATGTACACACACACACACACACACGCACGCACGCACGCACGCACGCACACACACACACACACACGCACACACACACACACACACGCGCACGCACACACACACGCGCGCGCGCACGCACGCACGCACGCATACACACTATCTTTCTTGTAAAAAAACACGTTCTTGAGAATAGGAATATGAATAAGAAGAATGCTATTACAGATCGGGATCAGCAGCTGTACATGTACTCTGCAGCATATCGCGATAGTGACACACGCATATCTGATATTTCTGTCTAGTTCGCTGTTCGTGAGAAATATGAAAGCATGCCGATGTTATGTGTTGATCAGTTCGGTGTCGAAACAAGGGTCGTCCGTGAAATATCCGCCTAGGCATATGTTATTGCTTGAGGATGTACTGTATGACAGCAACTCTGTCTGTGCGTCACACTGAGCTTAGCTTAATTCATATTACCAGAAGTAGATAATAGCAAGAGCCCATTAACCCCATTAAGGGGTTAATGGGCTCTTGACAATAGGGAATTCCTATATATCCTTCCATATTATCTACTTCTGATGTTACTACTGCCAGCGAATATAACTCGACCTGTAGAGGTAAAGTAGGTGGGGGGAGTGGGACGCCGCGATGGAGTGGGCGGGGGTGTTGAGTGGAGAAGCGGTAGGTAGGTGGGTGGTGGTGATTCATGTGGGGGTGAGTAAGGGTTGGCAGTGGTGGTGGAGTGGGCGGTGGTGTTGAGTGGAGAAGCGGTAGGTAGGTGGGTGGTGGTGATTGATGTGGGGTGAGTAAGGGTTGGCAGTGATGATGGAGTGGGCGGGGGTGTTGAGTGGAGAAGCGGTAGGTAGGTGGGTGGTGGGTGAAAGCGGAGTGGGTAGGGGTGGTGGTATGAGGGTAAAGAAATGTCCATTACTAGACTGTCGATGTACGGAGCCAACTGGACTTCAATCTAACACACGTAGCATTGCATTTGGGCAAACTCGATGCTCTTAGCAAGAAAGTTGATCAAGCCAGCACAACTATCTGACATAGTCGTAGCAGGAGTCTCATAATGTAGAATATTACAACATAAATCTATTTAATTAATATCGAAATCTAAAATCTATCGAAATATATAATATAATATAATATTAATCTATATTCTGACACTTCTGGGCGTAGATGTGTGAGGGCTGAGGTTACAATAGTCCCTGATTCCTCCTCCGTTGCTCCCCTCTTCCCGCACTGTCAGCGTGCTTGGATCCAGGAGGGAATATATCTGCTGCACTGGTGATCGTAGGCCAGTACTTGTTATGTTGATGGGAATCATCGTATATTTCGAGTGCGGCTTGAGTTTCTACGTAAACACGGCGCTCGTCGTTTCGGCTGCGGCTGTCCTTATGTCACCGCGTCAATTTGAGTTTAGAATGCTTCGATGCAAATTGAAAATCTAGTTTAGACTGCTTCTGTTCTCTATACAAATGTCTTTTATCCTCAACACAGGCAAGAGCTCGAATTCGACGTCGCCCGTCTATGTCAGCCCCAAGAAGAGACTGTACCCAGCGATGCCAGGCCGTACCTTCGTCTGTGTGAAGCCGTACCTTCCCAAGGAAGACGGGGAACTCGCCTTGAAGAAGGGCGACTTTGTTGACGGTGAGTCATCCACAGCAGCAACGCTGTGGCATACATATCCGCTCTCATGGAAAAACATCGGTTTGCAGTTTAAGAATGCATCGTAAACGCGCGCGAGTTTATAAAGCGAAAGCGGTGAAAGCGAAAACTCGACGCGATTTTCACGCAGCTGTTTGTAAAGGTAATTTTAAAAGTATCCAGCTGGTTTGCATTGTAGCAAAAAACCAAGTGTGTGTCAAGGTCACGTACGTCTTGATCTAGATCTTATCGAATGAACTGTAGCGTAACGATGGGCGTTGGTTCTTTCCTTCATGTATAGTTCTGAGTATTGGAGAGAGGGGCTTCTGGGAAGGTAAAGTTGGCCATAGGGAAGGATGGTTTCCCAACGACTATGTGGAAGAGGTCCAGATGCGGAGGAGAAAAGGTATGCCAATGCGCACAGAGCTGTAGAACTGTTTTTGAGAGGCTTTTGCGAGCTGTGTAAATGAATTTGTCAGACATTTGTTTACAAACAAACGTACAAACCTGTATAGGTATTACTAATAAATACCTAAAAATACTATACCTATAAATACTAAATATATATACTAAAAATATAGGTATTTATTAGCTCTTGATATATATATACATATATAGATAAAGTTATAAGAACATGGTTGTACTTTTTCTTCTGTTTATTGCATACAGAGCTGTTTCGCATGGAGCGCAAGCTCCACACTTATCAGTGCATAATACAGAGTACTCTGTCTAATGTCTGACATAGTACTCTGTATTAGGCACTAATAAGTGTGGAGCTTGCGCTCCATACGAAACAGCTCTGTATGCAATAAACAGAGGCAAAAGTACAACCATGTCCTTATATAACTTTATCTATATTTGCTCTACTCATGGTAGTATTGAGCACTCTCGACACACGAGTTCATAAACAACCATTGGTATAATTATTATACAGGGCCGTAGTGGCCGCCACGGCAGCACGGCACTGCCGTGGCACTATTTTGAAGAAAAAAAAATTCTGGAATGTGTATCTAATATGACAATGTTGCTATTCAAATTCAAACTTCAAAACATACAGCTGTACATAGTGAAAGTATAAATGCAGATTGAAAATAGGCTTATTTTTCATAATTATGTACTGATAGTATATACAATTTTGTAAATAATGGTTTATTAGTTATCATACTCATAATATATATTTTAGATACTTTAGTCAAAACATCAGCTTTAGCTACATTCCTCTTTGAAATTTACAAATTGATTTTTTTAAATGATCAGAATTGGTTGCTTTCAACATAGCCTGAAAATGCAGGAAATGCCATTTCCAGGCTCTACATTTCAAAATTTTTCTGGGGGAGTTTTTCCCAGACCCCCCGCATTGGATACATATTTCTGCAGTGGCACTTTTTGGGAGGCCACTACGGCCCTGATATATAATATATATATATATCTCTATGTATATACATAGTTGACAAACATACTTACCTGTAAAGCCAGAAGCTCACAGAGACATCAGTTAATCATATAGGAGATCCAGCCAGCACGGTTGTTCATTGACCACCGCAACCTCTCTCGCAGGATCAATCACATTAACAATGTTGTCACTCAGTATAGTAAGCTGTATGTTTTGGTCTCCAAATGTATCCGTCCCAATCTAGCCTAATCAACCCCCACAGACATCACAATTGCCTTGCGGGAAAAACACGGTTGTCGTTCACACTCACCGAACTTTCGCGCGCAGGATCTGACTCGGACGATGAAGACTCTGTGATACTCAACAAGAACACTCTGGCCGCACTGGTCAGCGGTCAACTCGACCACCAGCCGAAGACGGTCGTGCTGCAGCGCTCGAACAAGGGCTTCGGCTTTGTGCTGCGCGGCGCTCGATGTAAGTGCTGCCCCCTAGTGAGTCGTAACGACGCTCGCTTGTTTTTCGGTGGTTCTCGGAAAAGCGATTCTGACTTCGGCGCAAATTCCGTCGGTTCGTTGGCCCGTGCTACTTTAGTGCTGCCCCCTAGCGAGTTGTAATGACGCTCGCTTGTTTTTTATGGTTCGCAGAAAGCAATTCCAACTTTGGCGAAAATTTCGTCTGTTCGTGTGCGCACTACTTTAAGCGGGTGTTACGATCGAATGCGTAAAAGATTTTATTGCTTCATAGAAGATGCTCAGATTTAGACAGTTTTCGTGCGCTGCGCTTGCACTTTAAAGCCCATTTTAACCACGCGACACGGTAAAGGCTTAACTGCTGCACAGTAATTTGATTCGTTCGGAGTGGAATTCGTCACTCATTCTTCGACTTCGAACCTCTGCGGAATTCCGTCGAGAAAAGCGGCAGCTTTGCCGAGTTTGCTCGCTTGCGTGGATGTACTGATGTTTTGCAATGCCAGTCGTACAACAACATGGATGCTCGCGGAGAGTGCAGAGAAGTACATCGTTGTTTTATTTGCTCGTCCGTTTTTCTTGCAGCCCTCGGAGCGAAGCTGAACTTTCATCCGACAGATCAGTTTCCGGCGCTTCAGTACTTGGACGATGTTGACAAGGATGGCATGGGTTGGAAAGCAGGACTGAGGCCGGGGGACTTTGTGATCGAGGTGCGAATCAAGGCATGATTGGAGCGTAATCTCCTCATTCAACCAGCATTTGCTGGCACAGCTCTCTCTCCGATAAACCTATCATCTTTCTCGCTTCTCTCTCGTTAACACATCTTCTTTCTTAATTCCTTTCATGTTTTCATTACCCTCTCTTCTTTTTCCTTCTCTATGGTTAATCCATCTTTCATTTTTTTCTGCCTCGATTGTTACTTTTCTTTCTTCTTCTTCTTCTTCTTCTTCTTCTTCTTCTT